CATCCTGATGGATTACAGGGAGGCCAAGGTTAACCAAGTAACGCCTTTGCCTCCGATTCTCCCATTACCGCCATTAGGGGATGTGCAGGGTGCTGCAGGAAATACTACGATAGCGACTTCAGAAAACGAACGGGACCAAGAGGGGGCTGGGGCTGCGACTTCAGACGTTGGTCAACACAGCGACTACTCTTCACCTCACAGTGCCAGGGTCATAACACTGATCCAGTCCTTCTGCCTGCTCTGTGTTCTATTCTCTTGTTGCTTGAATCCATTTCTTTATGGCTTTCTAAATGACGATTTCAGGGCTGAGTGCATAGGAGCCCTATGCTGTAGGCCTCCCAAGCAGGAAATTTCGTCGTCCGTCGGATGCTGACCACTACACATGCCAAACTGATGTTTCGTTGAAGAGTATCTATTTTATATTGAAAAATACCATTTTTATTACAAAATAATTCATGAGCGCGAGACTTCTTTTATGATTCGCCTATGCACTATAACTGATGCTGATTTTTAATTCAGTGTTTTTATCAACCGAATTCATTCATTATAGTCAGCTCAAAACTACGTTCGTAAAATCAAAACTGAATCCAGAAATTAGCTTATGTAAAATTCATTTCGTGGACATAAAGCACCCAGTTTGTAAGCGAAATGGGATTTGATTAAAGGCTATTGCCTTCATTTGAATCATACACATTTACCGAGGTATATTTTAAGGTGTAAATATCGACGGAACCTTTTTTCATCCGGTCTGTAGTTAAATTCGAAAAATCTCCTTCCTCATTCTATAAGCAAGCATAGGTTTATTTTTTGACAGAATGAATAAATTCAACACGCGTTTAGCTTAACGGACTTTCGTTGATGAGATAAGCTTGATGTCTATTAGAGGCGACCCAATAAACAACTGTCAACACCAATCAAAATCATATAGAGACGTTCAAAGTTATAGCATTTTGCATAAAAAGTATGCTAATAGTGTTGAAAGGATTGCGTAGGAAACGTAAGCTAACTGTAGCACCTTGGAAGTGCCAGGTATGTAGAGATTTTTAATATCCTATTAGCCAATTAGAGAGCTTTTTAATTGAATGCGATAAGGAATTTTTCTTTCTTTGTTACAAATTTGCACGCATTGTAATATGCGAGCCAATGTTGTATCAACTGTTCAAATTATATATAGGAGAACGCTAGTACGTAAACGCTGTAAGCCCATCATTCATCTTAAGGTATAATACACCAATTGTAGTAATGTCGTACTTGCAAAAAGATAAAACACGCGTTTTCCAGTGAGTGAGGATATATGATTAATAAGTATGTTATATCACAAAAGAAAAAGTGCCCTGCAGCAGTAGAGGAACCTTTTTATGATATAGAGCAAAAACGACTACTAGAGATAGTAGTGCGTTGGGTTTGTGGTTAGAAGGCTAACACGCTATCGAAGTAAAACAACCTCTAACCCTAAGATAATGATAATGACCAAAACAGCAACACTGCTAATATCAAAAGAGCCCAATTGTAAA